TTCAGTTAAATCGATCCTAAGATTTTTTTCTGATTCTTATCCAGTCAAAGTTAATTCAAGACCTTCTTTGGTTCAGTCAGATCACCACTAAAATCTCTCTGATTCTTATTTCAGTTGAAGATATTCCAAGACTTTTTTCTGGTTCAGTTAAATCGATCCTAAGATTTTTCTGATTCTTATCCAGTCAAAGATAAACCAAGACCTCTGCTAGTTCAGTTTGAAATGACCATTGATTTGTTACTGATTCTTTTTCGGTAGACCTTTACTGATTCAGTTAAATCGATCCTAAGATTTTTCTGATTCTTATCCAGTCAAAGATAAATCAAGACCTCTGCTGTTGGAGAAACTGCAAAGCCTGGAGTATGACCAGATGACAGTTTAGTCTCATTTCCCCAGTAAGTCGCTGTGAAGCCTGGAATATGACCAAATTACAATCAACCTTATTATCCTCAGCAAATCACTATGAAGCTTGGGTCCTGACCAGATAGGAGTCCACTTTCGTCTCTTATGTCAAGGGATGATTCCCCAATAGAGTAACGGACAACTGAAGCTCCTAAAACTCTATTTCCCAAGACAAAGATCAACATTCCTCAGCAGAGTCCTCCTCAACAACAGGAATAGGGATTCTCACAAAGGAATGTCCCATAAAATCCACATTCTGTGGATGGCATCTTTAAGCCTATCTCTGACAGTCTTCTGTCATCTTTTCCAAATGGCATCTGTAAGCCAATTCCCGATATTATTCACCAACAGTATCACTTCAAACGAGTGCAAATTTCTGGGCATTATAGTGTTCAATCATCCTCTACCTTCAGATCATGAAAGGAAGACAAGCCAATCTACATCTTCAGGTTTAAGAAGATTGAATAGGGGCAACTGTTGTACCCCAAAATTTGCCCTCTCACATTTTCCAAGGTCTTCCCCTACATGGTTGGTCACAAACCCTTGCCTAAAGAAAAAGAAATTTTTTGAGTGGTGTTTTAAGTACCTTTCGATTGGCATTGACAAGCCCTTTGATTGGCATGGACACAAGGCCTTTAGATTGGCCTCATGACAAGCCTTTCGATTGGCGTTGTGTCAAGGCCTTCGATTGGCATTCTGAAAGACCCTTTCGTTTGACACCCTGGGCCAAGCCTTTCGATGGGCATGGCAATGGATCCTTCGATTTAGCATTGTATCAAGGCAGCTTCGACAGGAATGTTAACCGTGTCCTTCGGTTGGCATGGACAAGATATTTCGATTGGCATAGCAAAGGACTCTTCGACTGACATTTCAATAAATACCCTTCGATAGGTATTTGGACAAGGGTCATTCGCAGAACTCCTTCCAGGCCATTCGAAAGAGGCCATCAAGAAGAATAATGTTTAGAGGCTAATTGAAGAAACTCTGATACTGAGAATATGATCCATTCGAATCAAGTTCAAAGCCTTTGATTGATAAAGAGCTGAAGCAACCTTCAATTGGTTGATGTTTCGATTGGCTCCATTTCTGGACTGGCTCTGCCCTTGGCCCAACCACCAGTGAGGTCCAATCCAAGCTTGTCAACCTGCTGCGCTGAGCAGTATACCCACCGAGCACACCCCGATCATAGGTATCTGGTCGACTATGATTGCTTCCTGCCGGTGCTCGCGAAGAACGTCCTCGACGAGCACGTGCTCCCTCCGAGCACCCTCCTCGTATGGCTGACTTTCAACCTCTCCGAATTTCGCGGAGTCTTCATGGTCCCGGAAAGATCGCGTCTTTATCCTCCCTGTATTGCGGATGACGTCATCTAGGTACGGGGCCACGTGCGGATCCTCACTACACACGTAAAACCTGGCAGTCTCTTTGTTAGGCCTATTTGATCAGTCCAATAAAGAGACATTGGCCCAGCGCTGGGGGCTATAAATACCCTCTCTTTCGAGAGGGTCAGGTATTCATTCATTCACACCTAAATTCATACTTGCTTTCTCATTTTGCCTCTCACTTTTCCATCAGAGTGTCTTGCAGGTACACCCCCCCCCCCCCATCTCCTTCAAACTCAGCCCGAAGCCAGCTGTGACGGTCCAACTCTGATCAGGTAAGATCATATTTCAATAATTATTATATTGGTATATATATTTTAATTATATTATATATTTTATTAAATTAAGTATCTTAAATGATTAAGTAGTTAATAAAATTAAAGGTTAATTAGATTTTATTTAAAAATTAATTAATTAATTAATTAGATATGAATCCAAATATGAGTGGATGTCATGATGGTCAATTTTGGAATAATGAGAATCCTAATTGGTCATCACTCTATAAATATACTATGGTCTCCAATATAGTACACAAGCAATTTACCTCTTCTTCCTATTTGAAGAGTATTCAAAGTATTGTGAAAACCGATACCAAGAACAGAGTATAACAAGTTTCTTGATTGACAAGAAACTTATAAGGGTAAGAAAAATGGGAAACTAGAAGAACACAATGGAATTGGTTATTAATTGTTATTCTTTACTTTCTCTTTATTGTAAGATTATAAGTGTTACAGAATAACAAATAACCCTCTCGCCCTAATTAGTATTTGTACTGTTGTAATGATGAGACACTAGTATGCTATTTATAATAAAACTAACACGCTAAACTAATAGAATTTAATGCACATACCCATTACAAGCTAACTTAAATAATTGGGCATAACAAACAGACCCAATTCGACATGCTAATAAACCTTGCAAATATTGACTGATGCATGTTAGAACAATTTCGACTATAACACGCTCTATTTCGAAAATAACATGGGAACAAGATTTGACCTCATGCTTAATTTTTGTCGGACCAGAAGCTACCCCTTCAACCATACTAGATTTCGATCCAATATCTTACAAATCTCCACCTTGGGACAAACTCTATAACATTATGGGAATAAACTATCTTTCTTCATGCAGCTTTATCAACTACATACAGTGGAAAAACGTGCAACTTGGCAATGTCTTGGTGATCATATCAGCAGCATTGTAATCTGTCGAAACCTTCAGCATTTGGAATTCTCCACGCTTGATTACCCCTTTGAAGAAATGCAGCCTCACATCGATGTGCTTGGTTCACTCATGATTGGTTGAGTTCTTCGACAGGTGTATTGCAATTTGACTATCACATTTAGCAGTGATAACTCAACCTTGAAGTTTTAGCTCCTTAGTAAAACCTTCAAGCCACGATGCTTCTTTCATAACTTCAGTGAGATAAATATATGTTGCTTCAGTGGTTGATAAGGTAACAACCTTCTGAAGTGTCGCTTTCCAACTCATTTTTGCGCCAAACATAGTGAATACATATTCAAAAATATATTTTTTGGAGTCCATACAACCTACATAATCAGAGTCAACATATCCTTCGATTACTGTTTTACTATCTTCACCACAAGCTCCATCATAAATTAAGACTTTATTCAGAGACCCATTTATGTACCTTAGAATCCACTTCAATGCTTTCCAGTGAGCCTATCTAGGATTCGCCATGTACCTGCTTACAAGACTTACTGTATATGTTATGTCGTGTCTATTACATACCATATCGTACATCAAAGAACCTACTATGTTAGCATATGGGATATTATTCATATAACCTCTTTCGACCTCAGTACTGGGACACTGATATATACTCAGCTTGAATTAACGGTTTCTTGGTGTCACAACAGACTTTGAATTCGACATACCAAACTTGTCGAGAATCTTCCATAGGTATGCCTCTTGAGATAAGTATAATTTTAACTGCTTTCTATCTCTTCGAATGTCAATCACAAGAATTCTGGATGCAGCTCACAGATCCTTCATGTCTAACTCCTTATAGAGTTCACCCTTCACCTTGATTACATCCTCGACATTGTTGATTGCTATAAGAATATCATCCACATAAAGCAACAAAATAACAAATGAATTTCTAGGCCGAAATCTGAAGTAAACACAGTGGTCGAACAAACTTCTAATGAAACCTATGTGTGCCATGAACTTGTCGAATATCCTATTCCACTATCGACGATATTGTTTCAGGCCATATAATGACATGTTCAACTTGCACACATAATCTTCCTTTCCCCTTTCTGCATACCCTTCAGGTTGCCTCAACGGGATTATTTCATCTAGATCTCCATACAAGGAAGTAGTCTTCACATCCATTTGTTCCAGATCTAGGTCAAATTGTGCCATCATGGCAAGTATCATTCGAATGGACATGTGCTTCACAACAGGAGGAAACACATCATTAAAGTCGACACTACCTTTCTAAGTGAAACCCCTTGCGACCAATCTTGCCTTGTATCTTTTCGACGTCACTCCTTTGATTCCTTCCTTAACTTTGAAAATCCACTTACAGCTGACTAACCTGACTTGATCAAGTTCATCTATATAATCTAATGGTAAGAGGATTATATGGGATGTATCAAGTAGAAGAGTTTTTAAAATAAGATATAAGAAGATTAAATGCTAACTGTTTGATTAGATAGATGATCTTGATGAACATTTATTGTCTATTCTTGCACGTGACTTGATCAAGATCATATATATAATCTAATGCTTAGCATTTAATCCTCTTATATATATATATATATATATATATATATATATATATATATATATATATATATATATATATATATATATATATATATATATATATATATATATATATATATATATATATATATATATATATATATATATATATATATATATATATATATATATATATATATATATATATATATATATATATATATATATATATATATATATATACTCTTTTTTTTTACGTAAGGTACTTATAGAAAACTTTCATTATTCCAAATGGATTAAGTCATAAGTTTACATTCATCAATCATTGGTAGGGTGGCCCAAGCTCTATAGTACATATGTTGTAATAAACAACCTTATTACAATGAGTACCTAAGAATTACTGATATTTGAAGTGTTTCACGCTCTCCGAGAATACCTCAAACATCTTGTGGTACAGTGCCTGATAGATATCAGACCTTGGCTCTATGCCAAATTTGTAGTGCTGCATTCAGCTTTAAAGAGATGTAAGAAGAGCGACGTGGTTGACACATCCTTATTGTATTCACACCAATACTGAAAGACCTTGATGTCCAAGTAGACCCTCAAATGCAATTACAATGGAGCGATTAATAAATGATTAAATACTGCAACCTTGATATTGTTGAAAGGAAAGCACAAACCTATCAAGGAGAATAAGTAAGTATTCATGAAGGAAAATGACACACCCTTCATATTTGATGCATATCCTCTTGTCTTCTTCAGGGAGAATCGCCCCAATCTTCAGAAGGTCCCACCGCAGTGAAGGCATGGTCTAGACCGCCCTCACAAGCAAAAGCAGATGCAGTGTTTAATGTCTCTTGGTCCACCCACACTGATGATTTGTCCCATATGGCCTTCCAAACTTTAGTTTGGATGTCCTCTATTATAAGGGATCTTGTTAACACGTGAAAAAATTGTATACAAATAGAAAGTATGGCAAGATCAAAGTCAAGTTTAGTTTTCCTGCTAGAATGTACGCGAAATAAGCCACTAATCAACAACAACTTCCTCTATCAAACCATGTGGCATTCTTCTCCATAAACACTAATAAAGAAATACAGATTAAAAGAAAAGGAAATATGGGTGTTACCTTAAAAGAGGACAATTTCAGAGCTCACACGCTGAAAGATGAGGCACGAATTGGTCGAGGATGAATGCATGCGCATGAAACTGGCAACAACAGAAAAAATGACAAAGGAGTAAGAAGAAGAATAACAATTTCTCAAATCCACATGAAGCAATAAAGAGAATATTAGTAGTACAATAACTTCTTATATGCATTTTTGAATCGTGCGATCTACCATATTGAGAAGTGGAAACCACTTCACCAATGGTTAAGATCTCAACGGAGACTTTTTAGAGCATTCAAGTATTCTAAGATAGAGGGGGCATAATTACCATCAGACATAAGGACACGTGGCAGGGCCTCCCTACGAAACAATGTTGATTAGATAACATAATTTAGTGCATTTATTTCCAATGACAATGACGTCTCATCAAGACTCTTCACTTACTTCTGTTAAGCACTTGTCCTAAAGATATATGTTGCAAAGTCTTCATTCTACTGTTTTAGGGCCAGCTGTTTTAGGTCATTCGCAAGGATTTAAGGTCAACTGTTTTAGGTCATTCGCAAGGCCCATAGAAAAAGACCTAAGAGTGAACCTTGAGTCAAAAGGAACAGAGAGTGTGTAGACCTCTGTTCTATCAAAAAACATGTAATTCTGCCTCCAGCACATTAACCACCGTATGCTTCAATCTAACAGTTATCCATACAACACACTACATCATATGTGAGCAAATTCAACCGCTCTTGATATATAAAGTTAAATCCCATCATTTCAAGTATTCAAATTTATTCTCACTCACACATTACTTCTGATTTTTTCACTCACTCGTGCATTTGAATAATAACATTACAAATTAGCCCTTCTTCGCCGCATCGAAAATACTAATCCACTGTAGCAAAATACAATTGCACTATCTCACCTTTTATTTTTCGTTAAGAGACTAAAGATTATCAAATGAATGAAAAATAATTTTAATAATTTTTTTACTATTCTTTGCAGGTTTTATCCAAGACCCGACACCAACGCGACACTATACTGATGTGTATATATATATATATATATATATATATATATATATATATATATATATATATATATATATATATATATATATATATATATATATATATATATATATATATATATATATATATATATATATATATATAATAAATCAAATTAAAGCAAATGAATGGTCAGAATTAAAACAAGGATGGAAGCATGAGAACAAAGAAGAAGATGATGTATATTCCTTTTAATATATTTACATTACCACAAACAGAGTACTAATTAATTAGTTAGTTAGTCATGTGTGATTCCATGCCCCCAAAAACATCAAAGTTCTGATGGGGTCTTCAGCACGGTGGCTCCATCTCCGTCTCTCAATATCATTACACACCTGAACTCCGCCTTGCTTAGAAGCCTCATCAATTCGTCGGAGATTCTCTCCGACGGGTTTTCTGAAATCGTTTGTGGGAGAGCTTTCACCGGAGACATGGATGTGGGGTTTCATCTTATATGCACTCTTAAAATGTGTGTGTGACACAACTATGTGTGAGGCTAAGATATTAGAACTTTAAGAAAGAAAGTGCCGCTTTATATAGAAAATGTTTGGAAAGAGGATGCTTTGTATATCTAAATATAAGATTTGATTCTTAAGATAAACAACATGAAATATTTACATATAGTGTAATATGTTTTGAGAATGCTAAGTAATTAGATTCCTTACATTAAAAATTAACTTGTCAATATATATCTAAATCAAAATTGCATATATTCTTTTAGATAAGATGCAAAATGCTATGAAACAAATTATATGCTCGCAAAAATGTAAAAAGTTAAATAAATAAAAAAAGAAAAAGTGTATGGTTCCCCGGGCAAAAGCAAAAAAGTAAAGTAAGTGAAGTGAATATATGCTTCGTTGGAAAGATATAGCATAGGAATGAGATACTGTTGCCAACTTATAATTTTTTAGATTAATTGCAGGTAACCGGGCGTACAAGCAGCGTTGCCGTTCTTTTTTAATAATAGAACGATATTAATATAGAAATATTCAATTATAAATAAGGAGCAGGATAGAAAAAAAATTTATATATATATTTTTTTATATTATAAGAGAAATTTATTTTTTAAATTTATTAAATAATTAATGTATTTGATCTATATATAGATCAAATATATTAATTATTCAATAAATTTTAAAAAATAAATTTCTTTTATAATATAAAATAGATAGAATAATAGTTAAATGTTTAAGTCCGGATTTAGCGCGGACAGCTGACTCACCGCAGTCTCAAATTCGTTGGTCAAAGCGCCAACGCAATCTAACTCTAGGAGGTGGATGTGAGCAATGAGATCCGTGGATTTAGCGCAGACAGCTGACTCACCGCAGTCTCAAATTCGTTGGCCAAAGCGCCAACGCAATCTAACTCTAGGAGGTGGATGTGAGCAATGAGGTCTGCGCGCGTACGCAAGTCGGCCATCTCCTTTGGCTCATCTTCGGCGGACAGCATAGCGACTTTCAGCTCCCCAATCTCCCTCGACAACCGTTGGTTGTCGCTCTCCAGCCGTTCCTTATCGAGCTGAAGGCAGTCTCTCTCCTCGAGAGCCTTGTCAGCCCTCTCCTTCTCCCCCGACAGCAAATCAGCCTGTTCACGAAACATTTCCTCGGACCGTTCGAGGGCTGCCTTCAACTTGCGAGACTTGGCCGCAAGAGCCGCCTTCTCCGACTCCAGCTCCCTAACACGGTCCATAGAATCTGATCCTTCCCCCGCGAGGACCACATCCATCTCGGCCATCTTCACCACTCCGACCATGCTAGCAGTGAGGTGTTTCCTCCGACCTTCCTTGTCAAGCCGCTTGATGATGTTGACCTCGTTGTCGGACACGGTTAGGGGAAACCCCTCAAAAAAGTCCTTTTCCACAAAGCAAGGCGGTAAGCCAAAAGCCCGGGCAGAAACAGGCTCATCAGTCGCTTCTGCTCCATCCTCTGGCCGACTCCTCTTCCTGCTGACCAGCGCAGTTTGGCGCTCGGCGTCGGGGGAACCCGAGGACCCAGTGGATCCTTCTCTGCCCGAATCAACAGGCGGGCCCATCCGCGTGGCCTGCTGCGGTCTCACCAGTCTCTTATTTATCTTCTTGTCTTGTGTCAACTTTAGCAACCTTTCACGTCGCTCCGCCATGTGACCTACAAAGGAAGCGAACCAGGGTTAGCTATGTACGATTAAAGGCAATTAAAAAGGAATAACAATAAGAGCAAAGCAAGAAACCTAGGAGATCTACGGCCTGCCCGTAGGATTGGCATTCGACGAGCGCCTTGGTATTAATAGGGCGCGCCTCGAACGTCGGATAGCCATCCTCGTCAGGAATGTCGTTCCCTTCCCTGGTGACCCACCGGGCAGGAAAAAAGCCATCAACAAACTTGTTTAGGATGCCGTAAGCCTCCTCATCCTCGACACTCATACCCCTAGCAGGAGTATGGTAGTGCCCGGGACCATGGTCGTAATGATTCGAGCACCAATGAATGGGGAACCTGGAAATCCGTCCGACCTCGGGATTACCCTCGGCGTCAAAACAGGGCTCCCCATCCTCGTCGACCACAGTGGCCGGTTCGAACAAAGAATCTAAGGCCGTCTGGGTGGACGGTTGCAGTATGTACCATTTGCCCTTAAAATCCCTCACAGAGTCCACGTACATCCTAAACAGTCTCTTCGACTGCTTGAGGGACACCCAACTATGTTTTCCTCCTCGGGACTGGCGTTGCAAGTGGAAAACCCTGAAGAACAGGGGAATCGTCGCCCCAATTCTCAGGAAACGACAAGTTAGCTCGAATGCCCAGAGAAAGGCAAACGCGTTGGGGTGGAGCTGGGATGGGGCCAGGTTCAGATGGTTGAATACCCCGACCTGGAAGTCGTTAAAAGGCAACCGAAGACCAAGATCTCTGAACACAATCTCGTACATGGGGAATGCATCCTGAGTGAACTCCGAGCAGATGCGAGCATCCCTCTTCGGCCTCATTATTTTAAAGTTTCGTTGAAATCCTTCTTGAGTACCGCCGTACTCGACGATGGTATAGGCTTGTCTGCTGCGATGGCTGTACACCGAAGCTATTCCCCGGGGCTCATCACCCACCCAATCCAGCGTGGGATCGTCGACAGTGTCGACCAGGGTAATGGTCTCTTCTATTGTGCTTGTATCCTCGATGTCATTACGCCCCGAGGACTCAGGAATGTCGGCCATTTACCTGCAAAGTACAGGAAACCGGTGAATTCGACAGCAAATTCGCGTGCGCGCCACAAAGGCGGGGAGAAGTAAGCAACGCTCAGATCGAGTCTACAGCCATTCGCGAGAGAAACGAGAAACAAGTGGATCTCAACTAAACACCGACACCCCGGCACCCGCCGCGCATCAATCATGAACGACACGAGTGCAACATGAGTACCCCAGGCGAAGCTTGAATCGCGCGACCAAGTTCATAATTTCGCTTACCGGATACAAGAATACTACGGGGGAACTAGCATGCATACTAATGAAAGGATGAATATCCCGGTCAAGTTCATGAATCTACTAACCAGAACGCGTGAGTATCGCGGGCAAGATCATAAACCATATGCCTAAACTTATGAATGTCCCCAGCACAACCATGAATCAGGCGGCTAGCGCACTTAAATCTATCGGGCATAATCTCCAGATACAAGTTTCT